ATTAATACAAATTAGTTGTCAGGGTATGGACGAAACATCAAGTCACTAAAAATGCTATTAACGTTTTAATAATTCCAATCAAAATAACCTTCAAGATTCAGATCTATTATTCACAGTAACATCACCTCTTCGATTACATGTACAATCAGATTTAAACAATCTTTTATGGAATAACATAATGTCTCAAGGTATTAGATTCTGTAGACCAATTATACTGGAGTATGTAAATGAGAATAAAGAAGTGGTATTAAAAATTAAGGAAGAAATTGAAAAAGAAACTTCTAATTTATATCCGGATAAAATTTACCTTTCAGGACATAAGTATGTTTTTATCAAATATAGTTTTATCCTTTCAATTGATGAAAAATCTTAGTTACATCACGGACACTTCTTCGACACAATGTTGTCCGATTTGTCACGCCACGTCTAACATGATGAGCGATCTAAAAAAAGGTTTGTTACAAATAGGCAGGCATTGTGCTATGGCATTTGACCACTACATGCTTGTATTAGGTTTTTTGAATTTATTCATATTTCATATAAACTTGAAAAAAACTTGGAAAGTAGAAAAGGTTTTCAAAAAATCAATAATGTTTGAGAGAAAAAATTATACATGATAGGATGTTTGAAGAATTTGGTTTGAGAGTTAATGAATCAAAAGCTGGTGGATCAGACGTTTAATACCGGACGTTTAATTTATGTGCATAAATTTCCGGTATTACATCGCCAGCTTTTGAACCAAAAGCTGGTGGTGTAATAATGGAAATTTATACACATGAGTTTTTTCTGATCCACTATTACTCAGCAAAATTTTAGAAATGGATGAAGAAAACATCAGATTACATAACATTCTAATTGCAAATAATTCCAAAGACCCAAATGATCCGAAAAAAATTGATAAATACTGCAATGATACATATAAGAAGTTATTACAGATATATGATTGGTTCAAGCTCCCAGCTTCCATTCAAAAAGTATAAGCTCATGCTAGGGAAATCATTAATAATTTACCAGTCCTACTTAATTACCAGTCCCAATTGATTTAATGGGAGAGGAAGCAGTTGAATCTTAACAGAGATTTTATAAATTTAATCGAGAAAATCATTGCAAGAAAAAAAAGTAGAGAAATGAACTTACTTGACATTTTCATTCTAGGTATACATACTTCTGATCTCCTAATTAGTTCAATCTCATTAACTAAAAGATTGAAAAGTAAGAAAATATTGTGCCTACCGGAAAAAGTTTGTTAGCAGTTTATAGCAATGATAAATTTAAATATAAATTTAATATATTTTGGATCAAATATGAACATTTTGTACATTGAAAAATTATCCATTATTTAAACAATGTCCAAAAGTATTAAATATAAAAAATCCAACTGGTGCCCTAGTGCTTAAGTGGATTACACTGCCCCCCCCCCCTCCTTCTGCGCCTAATAGCTGGTTAAACATTAAAATTAAAAATATTATATTTTAATTTTTTTTTTTAAACTAGACCCATAGCTTGGGTCTCGCAAATAAATACTTTTTTTATAATAACCCTAATATTTAACCCTAATATTTTCTATATAAATAACCTAAATAAACAGCCTAAATAAACCCTAATATTTAAATAGCCTAAATAAACCCTAATATTTAACCCTTATATTGTCCTAATATAAAAGTACCGATTGGCTTCTTATAAAATAAGTTCTTAAAACGAAAATTTAACCAACTGAATGGTGCCAAATATCTAAATAGCCAACTAAATTCTTAAAAAAACCGACTATAACTTAAAAATCATCTGCTTTGGAAAACGGAGGAGGAAAGGGGTGGCGTAACACCCCACGTCTTTTTTTAGGCTAATTCTCAAAAGACATAACAAGTCATAAAAAAGACGTCTTTTATTCGTCTAAAGGTATCTTTTTTCCTTCTGGGTTAAGACGGGTTAGTTTATAAAATAAAATTAAGAAGCTATGTCTAGTGTAGAAGAGTTACAAAATGAGATGAGCTAATAATCTTTCTTACCACCTAAAGTTGAACAAAGATAAACTGAATTCAAGATATGAAAATAATTAATTAGTAATCAAGTAAGTGATTAGAGATTTCTAGGAAACAAGTTACTATGTCAACAATTTAAGAGATTTCTAGGAAACAAGTTACTATGTCAACAATTTAAGAGATTTCTAGGAAACAAGTTACTATGTCAAGAATTTAAGAGATTTCTAGGAAACAAGTTACTATGTCAACAATTTAAGAGATTTCTAGGAAACAAGTTACTATGTCAACAATTTAAGAGATTTCTAGGAAACAAGTTACTATGTCAACAATTTAAGTAAGAGATTGAGATTAATTTTATTTTAAATTTTAAACTTTGTCGAATCGCATGTGATGATCATTAAAGTTGCTAAAAACATAATAATAGCTGAAAATTAATAAATTTGCTTAATTTGATCAGAAATAACATCAAAAAGGTTTGAAAGAAACAATTTTTTGTTGCCTAAAATATATTATAATTGTTTAACACTTGTAGGTGCTTTCATATTTTAAATAAAAAGAGATTTTGACTCAACCACATAGTGCACCACGCCTTTTTTAAAAAACTACAATATTTGCCTTACTCCTGCTATGTGGCCTTTAACATCACACAAGAGACGCTAATAGAATCTCATTACATTCACACAAGAGACGCTAATAGAATCTCATTACATTCACACAAGAGACGCTAATAGAATCTCATTACATTCACACAAGAGACGCTAATAGAATCTCATTACATTCACACAAGAGACGCTAATAGAATCTCATTACATTCACACAAGAGACGCTAATAGAATCTCATTACATTCACACAAGAGACGCTAATAGAATCTCATTACATTCACACAAGAGACGCTAATAGAATCTCATTACATTCACACAAGAGACGCTAATAGAATCTCATTACATTCACACAAGAGACGCTAATAGAATCTCATTACATTCACACAAGAGACGCTAATAGAATCTCATTACATTCACACAAGAGACGCTAATAGAATCTCATTACATTCACACAAGAGACGCTAATAGAATCTCATTACATTCACACAAGAGACGCTAATAGAATCTCATTACATTCACACAAGAGACGCTAATAGAATCTCATTAAATTCACACAAGAGACGCTAATAGAATCTCATTACATTCGTAACATGGCACTGTAAATACTCTGATATTTTAAAGCTTTTATTAGAATCTACATTGCTAAAAACTTACTGAGAAGTTATTAAAATTTACTTCAAGCCTGTCTTAAATTTATAAAACTGAGTTTAAGAGCTATACACTTATTAGGAGATAAAAGAAAGCTGGTCAACGGAGATTATTTGTTATCTACTGAAGTCTTTGTTTAATAGATCTTTAAAAAACAAAGGCTAAATGCAAGTATTATCTGTAGATAATGAGAATTTGCTTTTAAGCACTGTCTACAGTCTTTAATCAACAAATAGCCCAAAGGCAGCGGCTTTTTTGATCAAAGTAAACTCCTAGCCTTTGCCTATAAAAGCTAAACCAAAAATGGCAGCAGGATACGAGGTAGTTCGAACTAGACTACATCTTATCAAATTTTATACTGAGCTAATCTGATGACAAACAATCATATGAACATGTTCATTTTTTGTCTGCAACAAAAAAGATTTCAAATATAAATTTTTCAAATGAAATTTTTTTTTTCATAAGTGGTAGACAGTTGATCAGCTTAAATTAAATGGCAGTCTTGGTTATGCAGTTTATTTTTACTTATTAAAGATAGAAAACATTTCATTCAAAGCCTTTTTATAAAAGTTGTTTTAAGAGAATATCAAAAGTATCAAAATTCTTTAAATTAAATCAAAGTATCATATCATAAACATTTGAAAAAGCTTTTTTAAACACAAGAGATTACTGGAAACAAACTGAGTTTGTCTACCAAAGATAAGTTTGATAAAATAGTTAAAGAAGACTCTAAATTTTTTTATAAGAGTTTCAATGCACCATTTAAAAAAATTATGGAGAAAACTTTTAATCCACACTTTTTCATTAATCACAAGCAAGATTACTTGCGTTTTCGTTTCAGTGTAGCGCAAGGTAATTAAATAGATTACGAAATAAGATTGCAATATTTCAAGTATTTTTACAAGTATTACAAGTACTTGTATAATGCAAATGTTTAAATAATAAACCACAAAATAATTAAATATAATGAAAATAATAATGATATTATTAATAATAAAATAATAATATAATAACAAACAAAAAAATTAGACTGTTAATGTTTATTAGCAACAAAAAGACTAAAGTTTAAAGGTAAAGTCAAATTTTTTTTTATTAGATTCAGTTTAATCTAAAAGCGACATTTAACTTCATATAGAAATGAAACAGTGAACAACGTTCTTTATATCATTAACAATTTTTTACAACGCATGTTGAAATAAATCAAGACTACTTTGTATAAAGTACAGCGTTGGTGTGTCACCAACGCAGTGTGGTTTATCTGATAAAATTCTGACATAATGAACAAAACATAGCATATCTAAGTTTATAGAATATAACTACTTAAATAACAATTTTTTAGGTAGAGTAAAGACACAATTAATGTCAAATTTTGTATATGTGTGTGTGCGTGCGTGCGTGCGTGTGTGTGTGTGTGTGTGTGTGTGTGTGTGTGTGTGTGTGTGTGTGTATATATATATATATATATAGCCAACATTTTTTCAGGGATTGATATAAGTTTTGCATATTTCGAGACGTTAGAATTATCTTGTTCTATCGCCACATTTTTAAGTTTTTGGATAAAACGGTTTAAAAAAAAAATTAGGAAACGGCATATAAAAACATTTTTACAGCTCAAGCTTTCTATGTTTCATTTTTACTTAAACTTAAGTTTCAATACAATAAAATCGCATTATTCTGAGGTACATAACAATTTCAATAATTCCAATTTTTCGTTAAAGATAATATAGAATAAAATAATTCTAACGTCGCGGTTTGTTAAAAGAAGTAAAGTATTGTCGTATCATATATATTTTTTGCTATAATATTACAATTTTGCATATACAAATAAGTTCTATCTAATTACGATTTTTAAATTAAAAACTCAAAAGTATCCATTTATAATTTATATTTGATTTGCAAATACCTTGTATCCAACAACTACTTTAATATCACATTATAGATAGCGTACTTATGTTGCTTAAAGTAAAAAAATATCTCTTTTAATTTTTGAGGGCGCTTTCTGTAATTTTCTCAATTGCAAATGGCTTTCTACGAATAATAGTTTTTTTTATATATGCTGCTGCCTTGCCCAAATGGTTCATTAGAATTATTTTTGAAACAAAAAACGAACAAAAAGCAGCAAGAAATGTAACATATAAAACGTATGGTGCTGCTGAAGTGGAGCCTAAAGTTCCAAGAATGCAAATCAATGACCAGAACGGTACATTAACTGCTTTAGCTAGGGCATAAAAATGCTGACGTCTATTTTTCTTAAAATGTTTTATTGAAGCCCAATCATGAAAATATTTTGACCCAGTAAGCACACCATACAAAAATATAAAAAAGTTTGAAATACTCGAAATAAATACAATTATTGCTGAATAACGAATAGAAACCACAGAATCATTGTTAATTTCTGTTGCAAAACGTAATATCATGTTTCCAGCAAGTGGACAAAGACAACAAAACATAAGAAATATTTTTTGAAAATACAACATAATAGAGTTAACGGTTTCAATTAAATGTAGAACAGCATGGTTTATGTACCACAAAGCAGAAACTAAACAAAATGTAGCAAGAAATGTAAGAAATTCAGGAGTCATGTGCTTTAACTTGTAGTTGAGGCCGTTTTTACTAACATCATTTTTTGGCGGAAAATTATCAACAGTAATATCGACAATTAAAATGCACGCGATGATAGCAATTGCATTATCACTCATATTTTCAAGGCGTTCTTTTGAAATGTTACCTTTCGAAAAGTTTTCTAGGAAAGAGCCTTTTTCCGTTCTTTCAAATTTTTTCATTCGTCGGAGAAAAAACCAATAAAGCTTTCGAATGATGGGCATTAAAATCAATAAAGCAATAAACACCAATGATATACTATAGTGAACCCAACAAAACGCGCCAGCAGTTAAAAGTAAAATTAGACTAATTAACGGTTTGAAAATCATAATTAAACATAATTCATGAAGTTCAGATTTTGTCCAGTTTTTTAAATCTATATGAAGAAGTTTTGGTGAATACGTTGCGTATAAAATTATTCCAATATCAATTAATTGAAGAAAAATCAAAACTGCACATGTTGATAAAACAGACACTTTTTCATCGGGATAATGCGCTTGCAATTCTAAAGTAAAGGGAAGAACAGAAGTTGCCAACATTTCAAAAATAATCAACGCTAAAATAAAATCATCTACTCTTTTAACCACTATTGCTCGAATGTTTATGTTTTCCCAAATCGTTAGAATAATTAAAAAGCCATAAAAAAATTCTATTAACTCCAGATAATTTGACCTAAGGAAATCTAGTAGAGACTGGTTTTCAACTTGTTTTTTTAAGTTTCTGATAGGAAGTACAAGAAAAGTCGCGCAAGTAGCCATTACAGTGTCTGAATAACCAAGCAATCTGCTAGTTGAAGCAATATCTCCTCGATGATGATCGAAGGGCAAGGTTTCATTCAAATGATTTTCATAGTTTATTTCTTGATGTTTATACTTACTTCTAGTTTTAATATTTGTGTGAAAATTTTCAATTTTTACATTTAGCTCTTTTTCCATATTCTTTCTAGTAAAAAAGAAAAAATTATTTCAAATCCTTTCTCTCTCTTTCTCTCTTTCTCTCTCTCTCTCTCTCTCTCTCTCTCTCTCTCTCTCTCTCTTTCTATATATATATATATATATATATATATATATATATATATATATATATATATATATATATATATATATATATATATATATATATATATACATATAAATATATATATATATATATATATATATATATACATATAAATATATATATATATATATATATATATATATATATATATATATATATATATATATATATATATATATATATATATATATATATATATATATATATATATATATACATATATATATACACTTATAGCTTTTAGAATTTAATTTTTTTTTTGATAATTAGACTTTCTTCCTAATAAACTTACAGAAAGGAAAAACAGCCTGTCGAAGACAAAATTAGATAGTGCTTTTACTAATTTATTAATGCTCTGTTTTTTTAAGAACATGGAGCACTCTATTTGTAGAATAGACTAACATACTTTACTTAAAGTTAAAAAGTTTAAAAACGAAATTTTCGCATATTTTTAATACTCTTTCAATTTTTATGCAAAATATATTTTTACATTACTTAATACGAATGTAATTAAATTTTAAATGGACACCTCTGATAGTATAGCTATTTAATTCTAATATAACTTTATATTTTTCCTTACAGTATGTGTCACACTTTGCGTCAATTTTCTTAAACAAACAAACCAATTATTAAACAGTAGACAATCAGTAAACAAACCAATCAGTAAACAATTAATCAGTAAACAAACCAATCAGTAATCAATTAATCATTAAACAAACCAATCATTATTTTTCTTTAAGTAAACAAACCAATCATTAGTTTTAAAACGATAGCACAATTATAAAAACGAACAAATCAAATTTTGTTTACCCATCCATTTGATAAAGCCACCTCCACTCGTATTCGACTCAAACAAAATTCCGGGCAGAACATATAAAGGTTTTGGAAAACATTATATGAGTATATGGTCCCACTAGGTTTATTTCCTCAATGAAATTCAAAAATAAAGTAGTACTCATAAATCAAATAGTAATTATAAAAATGAATATTTTTGTTGGGCGATTCTAGGCAGTCATTTTTATTTCAGTTTACTTACATTTTTTACTCAAGTTTAATTTTATTTTTGTTTTTTGTTGCTTCTATTGTTTTTTTATGTTTTGCGGAAATGATAGTTTCATTTGTGGGAGTAAATTTCAGAACAATTCACTTCCAAAGAATGTAGCTTTTTTTTTATTACGTGGAGATAAAAATTTCATTTGTGCTAAAAAAATTCAGAAATATCCGCTTTCAAAAAAAAAATTTTTGTTTTACTTTTTGGATTAAGTTGCCTTTATTATCTTATAAAAATTTATGGATTTGTAAAAATTATCATATTTTCAGCTGTTTTTGATTCTTTTCTTTTCATTATTTAAGTATTGTTTTTTACTCAGTTATTTTTGTTTTTACATCATTTTAGCAAAATTTAGCATTTGTTTTTTCAATATATTTCATTGAAACTTATTAGATTTCCAATTTAAAGTAAAAAAAGACCTTAACATTGACAACCGTTAGTGATCAATGTCTATCTTAATCTAATCTTAATGGTTATTTTAAATAGGATAAACTGGGGTATACCCACCCCCTACTACTAACAAATGCTTAAAAACCACTATATAAAATTAAAAACAAGAAAATAGTACAAAAACTCCATTTATTTACGCATTTAAGCAAATATAATAAGTGTAAACAAACGTCATCAGCAATTATGATTACGTTTATACTCATATATTAATTAGGAAACCTAATAATTAGCATGAGTTGCACATTCTAACATTTCGTGCAATACCTGTTCGTTTTCTCTATGCTATCTTTCTAAACTTGACTTCTTCTGACTTTTGCTCTAACCTTCTTCGTTCTTCCTAAACTCACTTACTTAGCTAGAGGAGGATAAACCACAATACAAACAATTAAGCAAACTATTGATATAAAATTTTAACAAAAAAACAAAACAAAAACATTTTTTTGGAGTTTCTCAGAGGTACCATTTCATTTATGAAATGTTAATGTTTAGTTGAGCTTAAATACGCTTGTAAAACGAAATAAAAATACAATTTAAATACATCCAAAAAATAAATGATGAAATAAAATCAATAAAAATATTTTTTTTAATGTATTTTAAAATACATATATGGTACTTAAACTGAAGATGATTTTGGATTTCCAAATAAAGTTTTATAAACAAATTTCTAAAGCAGTATGGATACAGGAAGCATATATTTTGTGAGAAACAGGAAGTTAGCAATCAAAACATGAAGTAAAGTTATGTAATAAAGATATATATCAGTCTTCTCAAATATATAATAAAGATATATATCAAAGCCTCTCAAAAGGTAGAAACATAATCAGTGATGGATCCAGGAATTTTCGGTGTGGTGTGAGGCCCCTCTCCTCACACCACACCGAGGCTTAAGGAGGATAATGAAATATTTTTGTATTTTATACCACATTGGCGTCTCCTAAATAATAAAAAAGTCCTCAATTTCTAAAAAATTTTAGGACTTTTAGAATCATATAAGGAGGGGGGTTCTTCCCCTGGATCCGTCACTAAAAGTAATATCAAAACAAAATCTTTTTAGAGTTTTTATATTTGGAGGTTTTATTATAGGGTGAAATCTAAAGATTGGAGATGGAGGGTGAATTCTAGTTGTGAAAACATCACTAAAAATTTTCAACAAGAATAAATCAAGTTCTTTACCAATAGTCTGGTATAACTGCATTTAAACTTTGTATGGATAAAGTACTTTACCAGTAATCTGGTACAACTGCATACAAACTTTATATTGAGTTTTGAGCTTGTGTTAATTTTAAAAACCTAAAATTAACTTCAAATTTCTTAACAGATGCATAAATTTTCTTTGCTTTTGATACATGTGATAAAATGTCGACTCTCTTTTGCAGCCCAGAAAATTCACTAGACATAATGCTAAAACAATTATAAGATTGACTATAACAAAGTTTCGTGGGGGATATGGAGGTCGTATTTAAGTAGATTTAAGAAGTTTTACTTTTTGCAATGAATAGTTTTAAAAACTTGACAAAACGCGCAACTAGAACCTAAAGAAAATTGGCATAAAACTGGCATACTTTATACAGCCGCGGTAAAGTGGTCAGAGCTTAGTCATGGCGCAGTGGTTAAAGGGTTAGGCAATATTATTATTTATTTGATTTCAAAATTTTTCTAAGACTAGAATAATTAGTTGAAAACAATCTAAGATTAAAGAAATTTTTAGTTAAATATATAAAGCTAAACATAATTTAAAAAAATGCACCTTAGGTACAATTAAAAACAAAAAAGCTTATTGTACCTAGGATCACTACTTTTTATACCCTAGGGTCATGTATTCTACCTGGGTCACTACTTTGTAAACCCTACTACATGACGGGCTTTTATTATTTTAGTAGTTATACCAATATTAATACAAAGTAATTAGTAAAGAAATTTACATATCAGTTTCACTTTTTTTAGACAAGACCGAGAACTTCAATTTGGGCAACGAAAAAATCAAAGTAATTTAATTTCAAAGTTATTAGGAAGCAATATGTATGCTTTATATAAAATGTCTACATCAAGCTTGTATCAACTATTTTGTGTATATACTTAAGTTAATCTAGACTTTTCTATTATCTCATCGAAGTAATCTTTATGAAAAAGTTTAACATCATTTAAAAATGCAATTGCAAAATTGCTGTTTACGCCTCCTTCCTTACCGTTAGGCGAAATATGTTCAAATTTACTTTCGAAACTCCTGTTTATAAAGCAAGCACTCTAACCACTGTGCCACGGCTCATATGGAAATATATACTCCAAAAAGTATGTAAACTATATTTATTTATTTTTTTTGCTATATAAGTTTTTTTAAGTTGTAAACCATAATATAAATACAAATAGCAGGGGCATGAAGAAGACATAATACGTCTTATCACCAAGCACACTGGTGATAAGACATATTATGTACCGTAAATATAAAACAACAAAAATCAAATAACGTAACACAATATAATATAAAACGTTATTCTAAAGACTTTATGAAATAAAAATCAGCGGTCCTAAAGTCCTACTTTAACTTTTTGTTTTTGTGTTGACTAAAAAATATTAAAAGAAAAATAGAAAAAAAAGTAATTAATACAAAGAAACTATATTATTAAAAAGCATACAAACAAATACGCATAATCCAAAATAACTTCGAGCATGAATTAAATATCAAATAAAATAAGATAAAGCGGTCCAAAATCCAATTTCCTGCTAAGAAAACGTTATTGCTTGAAATATTTTTTGAATTAATATAGGCTTGACTAGACGTGTTACAATACAACATGTACAATACGACACTACCTTCATATTAAGGCTCTGGCCCATAAAAAGGCCTCCGAAAACAAAAATAGCCCTGGGCCCCAATAAGTCTTAATCCGCAAATGCAGCTAAGGATCCGATAGTTTTATATTCAAGAGGTCATCACTCATTTCTAGTAATTTATAACAACTTGTTTTTATAGAAAAGAAAGATAATTTTTTAAATAAAAAACTTTCAGAAGATGAATATATTTTTTTTTTTACTTTAAAATTTAATAACAACAAACACGTCATTACTTTTAATATAATTTAAACAATACGAATTTAACTAATTTAAACAATACGAGCTTGACCATTGCTCGAGTAATTGTCAAGTAAATTAATTATTATCCTAAATTAGATATTTAAAAACTGCAAAACACTATTAAAATCGACACTTGTTCTAATATTAAAATCTGCAAAACACTATCAAAATCGACACTTGTTCTAATATTAAAATCTGCAAAACACTATTAAAATCGACACTTGTTCTAATATTAAAATCTGCAAAACACTATTAAAATCGACACTTGTTCTAATATTAAAATCTGCAAAACACTATTAAAATCGACACTTGTTCTAATATTAAAATCTCAACGTTGGAGAGGAAGAGTAGTAACTTTTTTTTAATATCAAAAGAAAAAAAATAAGCTTTATTAGCGATTAGAAGCTTTGTTAGCGATTAGAAGCTTTGTTAGCGATTAGAAGCTTTGTTAGCGATTAGAAGCTTTGTTAGCAATTAGAAGCTTTGTTAGCGATTAGAAGCTTTGTTAGCGATTAGAAGCTTTGTTAGCGATTAGAAGCTTTGTTAGCGATTAGAAGCTTTGTTAGCGATTAGAAGCTTTGTTAGCGATTAGAAGCTTTGTTAGCGATTAGAAGCTTTGTTAGCGATTAGAAGCTTTGTTAGCGATTAGAAGCTTTGTTAGTGATTAGAAGCTTTGTTAGCGATTAGAAGCAGAACAACATTAACATCATTAAAGTTGAAACAAATAGCTGGCGAGCGGTGACACTTTCTGGTTTCTATAGAAACTTTAGGTAACGGTAGCGTTTTTAAATATTTGGTAGCCAGCTCTAAATGTTTATTACGCTTTTGGAGGCCTCATAACAATGGGCCGTAGAAAATGTTTGTGTTTTAAAAGAGTGAAATTTGTATTGTCATTTATGAGGTTAGTGTAAATATTAGAAAACGCGTGTTTGCGTGTTTGTGTTTGTGTCCGCGCGCGTGTGTGTGCGTATTTATATATATAAGCTCATACATATAAATATATTTATACACAAGATGAAGGGTTTTAAAATTTTAAATACTGGCAGTCTCTGATGTTAAAATTTATTTATTTGTGCTTTGCCGCCTGATGTATTAATAGTTAATGATTGGATATCACGTATAAAAAAAGTAGGAGGTATAAAAAAAAAAAAAAAATCAAAATGATAATGATAAAAATTAGTGCTGTTATTGATTTTAACTAAACTGGCTTCGAATAAATTTAAAATTTCGAATGACTTTGAAAAATCAAACAGTCGGTTTAATTGAGAATTTCCTACTAATCGAACAGTTGATTTAATCGACTAAAGATTTCCTACTAATCGAACAGTCGATTTAATCGAGGATTTCCTACTAATCGACTAAAAGTCTTTTTAGTCAAGTTGTAATTTTAAAATCTTTAAATCTTTTCATTCGATATAATTTTATAAAATTTAAATTTTTTTATTCATTTTATAACAACAGCATATACTATAGTATTATAATAATAGTACTATTATAACTTTTAAATGCTACCTAGCTCTTTGTTTACTATCTTAAAGTTATATCTAATTTATAGTGTGTTAGAAATTTTTCTACCTAATTAAATTTTCGATTACATATTTCGTTAATTTTTTTTTTTGTTTACATGCTTTTGTATATTTTGTTTACTTTACATATACAACTTTTCTTAAATACTTTCGTACAAGGTCGTCCCAAACTAACTTGACCCCTGGGCAAAATAAACCATAAAGCTTCAAAATTTATTAGGCATTTAAATTTAGTAGGCACAATAACATTGTAAATATGATTGTATAGACTTTTTGATATTTAGCAAGTACCTAAGGTGGTTCCTAAGTTATTTGGGGCCTTGGAGTTGCTGTAGCGGCCCTGTTTTCATTTTATTTTGATTTTGCATTTGTATATATATATATATATATATATATATATATATATATATATATATATATATATATATATATATATATATATATATATATATATATATATATATATATATATATATATAGAGAGAGAGAGAGAGAGAGAGAGAGAGAGAGGGATTTTTTATTCATCAATAATGAAAGTATTGCTATAAAAAAGAAAAATAATTCAATGTTGATATAACATCAAATAAATTTGGAGAGAAAGTTTTTCCCAGAAAAATGTTTTTTTAATCTTTTTATCTAAGTTATTATTATTTTTTTTTAATTTGTTATAATTTTTCATTTCATTGTTATTGCTCAAAATTAAAGTTTAAAAATAGTAATAAAGTCATAAAATCTTGTATATTATGATTAATATAAATCTTGTATATTATGATTAATATAAATCGTAATAGACAACATTTTATGACTTTATATTTAGTAATAGAGTCACAAAATGTTGATTATGATTTATATAAATCATAATATATAAAATTTTATGACTTTATCACTATTTTATTATACTATTCATTTATACTATTTATTTAAAAACATATAACATACATATTATGCATATTATACGTTTTTAAATGTTGCATTTATAATTTAGTGAAACTATAGCCGCATAGCAGTAGAAAAAAACATTTTAAAAAATGTTAAAGTTATATTGAAACAAATTACAGTGCTACATAAAAAGAACATTATTCAGAACTCATAAAAGCACTATAATAATATATTATGTTATATCGTCTTATTTATTTTATATTATAAATGTTATATATTAAAAAATATATACATATATTATGTTATATATTAAAAACATAATTCATACATTGCATTGTGTTCATTTACGCTATATTTATATGTTACCTTATTATTAATTTCTTTTTTTATGCTATTATTTCCACCTTTACATTTTTGCAAATGTCACGCATATGATACTTGTGAACAAATAAATGCCTTAACACGGTAGTTATAGCAACATTACAGTGGATTTAGTTACCGATTAATAGTTTTCAAACCCCTTCACAACTACACAATATGTATTCAGATTCAGATGATGTAACTGATATATAATACAATTCAACTAGATTATTTTTCATTACGTACAGACAAAGTTTAATAAATAAATAATAAATAGAAGCAAAAGATAAAAAATTAAAAAAAAAATGTAGAAACATCTGTTTGGTGACCAGATTTTAATTGATTATTAACTGAAACATATCAATTATTTTGTGCTAAAAAAAGAATACCCCTTTTTTAGTTTATACTTAATACCCTTAAAAACCAATTCAAAATAATTTTTCTATTGCTTACTTTCAAAAACAACTTTTTTTAAAAAAATACAAAATAATCTTGTATGCGTATACCATTACGATTTCAACCGTTACAACGTATTTTAATGTGAAGCAAACATAGGTCATGCAACAATTGTGGGCGTAGACAAAGTCAAGGTCGTTATTTGGCCTACGCTAACGTAGGCCAAATAACAACCTTGTTTTATTAACAACCTAACTCCAAAATACTCCTCATGCAGTTAAACTTTTGTTTACTTAAAATTTATTTTTTAAAAAGTATTAAGGTGACGTAACGTATTTGATAAACACAAACTGATTATTTCATCATAAATTAAATTATTTTCATTAACGTGTTTAAATTCATTTTAACATTGTTTTGTGTGACGTCATTACAGCCGTATTGATAATTTTTTTTAATTTTGCCGCAACTTTTTAGAAACTATTCTCATTTTACTCAACGAAATAAAAAAAATCTTTGACTATCACAACATTTTGGTTTTAAATAAAATGAAATAAATGGAAATTTAGTTTTCTATTATACGGTTTGTTCAGATTGTGTTTTAAAAAAAGTTTCTTAAAGACTTTTTTTGTTTTAAACAGAATTTAAAACTTTTCTGAAGTCTCTTTTTTAGCTGCTTTATGATTTTGCTCAAATCATAAGCAGCTAAAAAATAAGTCGGTTTGCTTCAAATTGTTTTAAATAAAATTAAAAAATGTCCTTAATTTGTACATGGTTATAGATCAAAAAAGCTAGAACTTTTATAATGCCATAAATTTTTTTATAAAAGTTTAAGCCCATAAATTTTCAAAAAAATTTTTTTTGAAAAGAACATAACTGAGTTTTTTACTCAAAGTTATGTGATAAAATATATCTCTACGTGATAAGTAAAAGTTAAACAAAAAAAAAATGCTGGTAGTTGTTGCTCTATTTCTCTGAGGAAATAATTCTATCGAATTTAATTCTATTTAAATTCTATTGTTTAAGTGTCTTTGCAATAGTTTAAATATTTCTTCAACAACTATTTAAATAACATCTAAGAAGTTGAGATTTTACAGGAAATTATAGCAGAAGTTAGGATTCAATAATGTACTGATATTATATTATATTAAACTATAAAACATAAAATTTTGATAAGCGTCCCAGTGGGCACTGGACCAAAAAAAGACGTCTTTTGAACGTTCAAAAGACGTCCAAAACGTTCAAAGACGTTCAATAGACGTCTAAAACGTGTATTCAACGTTTAAAAGACGTCTTTTTTACAACCGTGCCCACTGGGTATTACATTTAAAATAAACTTTAAAAGATTTCTTGCAGTCCAAAATAAAATTTTCGGTGTTTTCCCTTTAAACAATCTAATCGTTTATCTTGCGAACCTGAAATTTTACGGAAATATCTTGATTGTTTAAATTAATAACCAATTGACAACAAATGCTTGAAAAGCATCTTAAGTACAATAAGTAAACCTCCAATTGTTATATTTATTTAATTGGGTAACTTTTATACAATGAAAGTCTCAGTCTTAAGGTTAAATTTAAAGTTGTCTGAGCTCTTTATAACTCAACAATCTAACCAAGCTAGCGTAAACAAACCGTATATGCCAAAAAATAATCGAGAGCATGAAGCTAATATTGGGATTAAAAGCAACCGCTCAAATCAGCGCAATGCTGATTTCAAATCTTTTTTTGCATGTCTAAAACTATGCAAGATACCCAGTAAACATACCCAGTAAAAATATTTTTTTAACGAATGAACTTCTAAAACGTTTTTAAGACGTCGTTCAGACGTTGTGTCTTTACTGGATACTTGTATTCTAAATTTGTTTTGAAAAAAGATTTTTAAAAGTGACCAAAAAACTAAACATTATAATTATATAAGAGATCGTCCATAAATTACGTAAACTAATAGACAAAAGACAAATGATTAAAAGTTTTTCCGCGCTTTAAATAAACGAGTCTTTAAAGAAACCAAGTATATAAAGAACCCTTTAAGTCCAGCAAAAAGTGCAAAATGGATGTACTTATATTTTTAAAATAAGTTTTGCGTTACGTAATTTATGGACGATCCCTAATGTTTCTAATAGATCTATTATCTTAATTATCAAAAAACTCGTTCATTTTTTTGTTTTAGTTCTTAAGCTAATAAAAATGATTAAGATTCTCCTTCCTTTTTGTTGATTTTTTACGTTATTATGTTATTATGTTCAACTGACACAATTAAAAAGCTTTTTCTTAACTCAAGTGTGACAAACTATTATGATTACAATCACGAGGCATTTTTATTTTTTTGTATTAATAGTTAACAATTCTAATAAAGGTTATTATTATTTATTTTTTATTTAAAAGGAGTTACAAACTTTGTAAATAAACAGCATTAAAAATAAAAAACAACTTCTTAAATTCTACTACAAACACTCGGATTTCAGTTTATCTTATTTTCTATTGAGTAAGTTTTTGTAAATAAAACAATTAAATTTTATGAAAATATCTGATAGAATAAATAAAAGACTTTTGAATACTGAGTCATAAATTATTAAGTAATATTGTTAAAATGTAAAAAATCTGTGAGTACCAACTATGTTTAAAACTATGAAAAACAGTTTTTTAAGACTAAACCTGTTGCTTTTAAATAAGTGTTGTTACGCTTTCTAAATGATTTGGCTGTCGACTAAATTAAAAAATGTATTTTCTACAGTCTACTAAAATCGATTAATACATTTTTGAAATCAAATAAGTTGATTTAGTCAAAGTTTAAGAATAATTTTTTTTTTTTTTTTAAATCAATTGTGAAAAAAAATGATAATTTAATTTACACTCTCATTCAATTTTTTCTACGCCGCTCCGACGCCCTATGCTTCGCAAAGCGGAAATAGGATTTTACTTACTTTTATGAAAAAAAATTTCAATTTTAATATTTTAAATATTTTTTAACCGAAACAAGTCAGCATTAGTTAATAAAAAAATATTTATTTCAATTTTTTTTGATTTGCCTTTTTAAGTGCGGGGTTTTCAGGGGTAAAAAAAATCCGTTTTTTCACAAAATCCTAATATTACATACGATAATGAAACCATGTTACTATAGAGGTAGCCCGTTTTTTATTTATTATAAATTTTCTACGATAAATAAACTATTTATTCTAAGTGAGATATTATTCTGGCTACCTCTGTAATACATTGGTATAATATCAATTCATTGTAGTGGGTTTTATTAAAAACCGGTTAGTTCATAAGTACAAAAAACAACACGAGATGCGGAGCGCTACATTTGTTACTTGTCTTTAATTTATAACTTCTAAGTGAAGCGTGGTTTAGTGTTTTAAAATGGTTACTTTTAATCTCTGCAAACCTTTGTTTGTTGTATTCCCTCAAAGGCATATTTTCACAAATAAAAATGTAATTGCATGGGCTTTATTTTTGCGGTCCACGTTTTTATCACTTTATGCTGGTTACACAGTGAGTTTTAACATTTTCGAGTCTGCCTTTTTATTTAATAAAAATTTGTGGAAAAAAAAAAAGTTGTTTTTAAGTAAATATAAAACACCAAAAATCAACAAAGTAAATATCTTTTAGGAGTATAATATGTTTTATATAATAAGTTGTTAGTATTATTGTTAAGTAAGCTATGAATGTTTAATTATCAGGATCGTACCGGGGGGGGGGGGTCATTGAGTGCAATCGACCCCCCTTTTATATGCAAAGTGCCTTTTTTAATTTGACGCCAAAAATTATTACTAGATTCTTTTCGAAGTCAAATTATTTAATTAAAATTTTTGTGATAATTGTTTGATTTTTATGAATCATTCTCATGAAACAATATTTACTTTATTGTTTTACAAACGTAAAACGTCATTAGAAGTTATTGTGGAATCTTTTGTAAACGAAAAATGAGAAATAGTCTCTCCAGAGCTTATACTGTAATTACAATTCTCTACTAATACTAATTCATTTTTAAAAGCAAACGAATTAACATGCTTAACTAAATTAGGAAAGGAGGAGCTGATAGAAAAGAGCTTCAAAATGCTGCAAAGAAATGCAAATCGTTAGCTGGATATTTAAGTGAAAAAGTTATTTTGATCTTCTTTTTATAAAAATTAGTTTGATTAGTTTGATATTAACTAGATATAAATAATAACTAGATACAAATATAGATACTATCTATATGTTAAACTTTTTTATGATAGTATCTTTGTTATTACTTGTTTTTTATTGTATATTACGCGAGTTTTTTTAATTTTGGTATAGTTTAAGATCTGAAAGTTTATTATTAATTACTTAGGCTTCAAGTGTTGTTTATTTTCGACAGTTCTTAAAACGTAACCAATGAAACATTAACCGAAGTAGAAGAAAAAGAGGATGTCACTAAAAATGATAATAATGTTAACAAAAGCTTGTCATGCAAAGTAGACCAAACAACTTTAAAAGAATGTGATTTTAAAGAGGAAGAAAAACGATATTGACGAACTCTTGCCTGGAAATCAAGAATTATCGCGACATGAAATATACAAAATGCTTACAAATAAATTAAAACACAAGATACATTTTCAATTTCCCAAAACATTATAACATGGTTGCAAACGCGCTTTTAAAGAAAACTATTTACAAAATCAATTTGTCTACAGCAAAAATGAAGACGCAGTCTACTTCATATACTGCACTTTATTACTAAAGCAGGATAAAAAAAAACCTTTTGGAGCTTTTGTTAACAGTGGATATTAAAGAAGTGACACAATGTTTTAGAGAAACAAAAACTACATAAAGGTACCATAAAGAA